GCCATCGATCGTTCTGGGATGATTTCAGGTACAAGACAGCAGCAGGCGATGCAATGCCAGTGGTGCGAGAGCACCCATCACACTGTGGAAGACTGCGAGGCGATGCGTGAGTCCAGTACACCCCAGGAGCAGGTGAACTTCATCAACAATGTTCGGCGCAACGACCCATATAGTAACACCTACAATGAGGGATGGCGCCAGCATCCAAATTTCACCTGGAGTGGCAACAGCAATCCGAAGCCACCTGGCTTCCAAGCTCCTGCAGCTAGTTTTCCGAACCAGAGGCAGCCATACCAGCCTCGCCTAGGCCAGATGCAGCATCAGTAACCACTTTATCAAACCAGACAGGGGGAGGATTTTCAACAGCCCCACAGCAGCAGTACCAGCAGCCTGGTGCATCTCCATCAGTCCCAGCACTAGGCAATCCCGTGTCAGAACTGAGGGATCTAGTGACTACCTTGGCGAGCATTATTACCCAAAAGTTCAATAAATTGGAGCAATTAATGGAAGTATCTGCAGGCAAATTCATGGAGATTAAAGCTCGCCAAAGAAACCAGCAGGCACTCTTGCAGGATATGGACACCAAGATCGGGCACCTGGCAGATGCCCTTGCTTCCAGACCGGCTGCCACACTTCCTGGCCAACCCTTGCCGAATCCCAGAAATCATAAGGAGGGGTTGCACGCCATTATGCTGAGAAGTGGGACTGTGACTGCGGATGCACCGCAGAAGAGTGCCAAGAAGGTGACCCAGATCACCCCTAAGTCGGAAGAAGACTTGGTGATGGAAAAGAAGCCAGAGGATCAAACTCCAAAGCCATAACCATTAGTGGCTGAATATAAGCGTAAGCTCCCTTTTCCCACCAGGATTCACAAAGACAGGCTAGAGGCAGAGTTCGGCAACTTCTAGTCCATGCTTAGGATGCTGCATGTTCAAGTTCCCTTCATGGAGGCACTATCTCAGATGCCTAAGTATGCGAGGTTCCTGAAGGAGCTTCTCTCAAAGAAGCGGAGGCTGAGCGAGCTAGCCACTGTGGAGCTCAGGGAGGAGTGCTCGGCCATTCTGCAGAACAAGCTTCCGCAGAAGCAAAATGAACCAGGTAGTTTTACTATCTCGTGCTCTATAGGGAAATTGCATGTAAAGAGGTCCTTGGCGGATCTAGGTGCTAGTATTAATGTGATACCATATAAATTGTTTAAGAAACTAGGCCTAGGTGAACCTAGTGCAACTAGGATGAGTATTCAACTAGCTGGCCGATTTATAGTTCATCCTAGGGGCATAGTGGAAGACCTTCTGGTTAAGGTTAGCAGATTCTTTTATCCTATGGATTTTGTTGTCTTGGACATCAATGAAGACACAGAAGTGCCCCTTATACTAGGAAGGCCTTTCCTGGCCACCGCCAAGGCTCTCATAGATGTGCATGATAAGACCTTACTCTTGAGGGATGGCGAGGAGCAAATAACATTTTCCATTGCTAATACTCTCTCTGCTTCATCGTCTTTGCATGCTGTTTCTAACCAGGAGCACGAGTCTGTCGTGTATCCTTCTGTGCTTCCCATTTTGCAGGATCCCTCTCACATATCTTCGCCGCCACTCCCGTCCACTCCGTTACCAAAAGAAAAGATCAAGGAGGAGTGGCGGCCGAAACTGCAGGTAGCCAAGCCTGCTCAAAAGAAAGCCGGAGACCACTATGAGCTGGTCCCTCCTCCTAAGCCTCGACCGCCTTGGCCATCCTAGTATTCACTGGCTTGCATCCTGCCAGATGGCCATGTCGAGTTGACGAGTGTTGGTGGTCACACTCGTCGTGTGCATGGCCACCACCTGAAGTTGTACCTCAAGAGCGATGTGGATCCGCTCTTAAAGGCACTTGTTCCTACACCTCTATGAGCATCCACCCTACTGGCGTCCAGCTAAACGACGATAAAGAAGCGCTTTTGGGGAGGCAACCCTACCAAGGTTTGTTTTTCGGTTTGTCCACTTAAAACTATGGTTTTTATCGCCCAGTGTGTTTTGATGACTCTAGCCCTGCTGACTGGTCCCATTTCCAGTCCTCCAATAGTCCATATTCCTGGTAACATCGTTTCCCCTTGTCTTTCCCTCTGCTCCATTGAGGCAATGTCGTGCTTAAGTGTGGGGGGGTGTTTATCTGTGGTTGACTGCTAGATGAGTCTGTGTGCTTGGAGCCTAGTCCGCTGTCCAAATCTCGAGATTTGAGGGCTCCAAGTACAGATGTTTGCATGATCATATTGGCACTTTGGATTTGATTGGTGAATCGAATGACTTTCGAATTGATGCATGACAACTTGATTGTAACTAGGACAACCTATGATGATGACTGAGACGTGCAGTAGGATTGTGTAGGGGATCCGTTTTTCAACTGTTTACTTACCAACTGTGACTTGGATTGATCACTTGCTCTTGACAGTCGTTTATGCATCCAGTTCAGGGAAGCAGAATGAGAGATAGAGCATATAGGTAGCCATGTGAGATTTGAGCATGCTCGTTTCTTTCTTGTGCGATAGATCCCTCTTCCATGATGTGTAGCATTCACATTGTCATTAGCTAAGATGATGGAGGCATAAGATTAGCCCACGACCAAGTTGACTATCCTGATGTGTCATACCCCTTAGTAAGCCCTTTGAGCCGTGTGTTATCCTTTCTTTCGGTCTACAATGAAAAATCACCCTTTTGCATCTCTTAGAAGGTTCCACAGAGTGGTTTTTACATGTTCTCTGCTGTTTCTGCTAAATATAATGCGAGGGTTGGAGGTAGTTCTTAAAAAGTTGGGCGCGTGTTTGAAAAATGTGCATAGGTGGTGGTTCTCTCAAGAAATGAAAAAGAAAAAATGAATGAAAGCAAAAGAGAGCCACCACCACAAATCTGAATAGTGCCCATTAAGTAGTGTTTCTTAGCAGTCTGGCTTGGAAATACTAACATTATTGTAACCTCATTCGCTCTTGTGCTCTAGAGAATTTGAGTAATGCAGAATGGCGGAAAGAAAGTAAGTGGTTTGATTGGCGGTGAATGTGTTGGGTTTGGAACTATGGAACGTTGTGCTATGAATACTTCCACCACCTAAAAGGCCTTTTCCCCATGTCCAAGACCCTAGCCAGTCATTTGAACCTGTGTCTAAGACCTCCGGATTAGTTAGTGATGACACCCATTTATGTGAACTCTAACATTTAGAGGCTGCCGTTATGGTGAGGAGACGTTAGGGATTGAGAGAATAAGTATGCGCATTTTTCGCATCAAATTGTCCTGACCCCACTGGTCGAGAGTGAGCGATTCATTTCCTTGTTCTTTACACTCTTTACCCCGGTGAGGACCTAGATGGCTCGGTCTTGATTTTGATGTCTTGATTTTTATGCATGAGCTGACTATCTTGAATAAGTGGTTGAGTCAAGTCTAGGTTGGTTGGTGAACAGAAGGGAGACTCTTCCTTTACCCGATTTTGCTGCACTCGAATGTCCTCTGTGGTGGTCGTCCAGGTTACTATTGAAGTTGTTCATGTGTTGATGTCTAAAAGCCAGTATGATTCACGTGTTTCATGCTTATATGATATGTCCCCAAGGGTTTCATGATTAAGATGTTTTGAGCTTACCTTGTATCTGACTTGGTTTGCTTGGGGACAAGCAAACGGTTAAGTGTGGGGGAATTTGATAACATCGTATTTGCACATGTTTGCACCCTCGTTTCTTGATCATTTTGGCTTGAGTTTTTGCTTTCTTGGACTATTTTACGCTAGGTTGTGTTCCTTTGTCTCATTTCAGGTCCTAGCATGTAAATTGAAGCATAGGCGCAAGTTTCAAGTCAATCGGAGATCATTTGGCAATTCGGGAGAAGAAACACAAGCATGACCTGAGGAATAATGGACTTCTACCTCATATTATGGACAAATAATCATTTAATTTTGTTGTGAAAGGAAAGAGGATGAGAATACGAGCGTCTGGGATCAAACGACAACTGATTCGGAGTCCGGACGAGGGAGAAACGAAGCATTAAACAGGGGCGGAGGAAGAATTACGGGCAGCCCCTGCCCAATTACGGCCGTAATTGCTTCTGTCATGCCCGTAAATGCAATGCCGAGCCTAATTCTTCAGAATTCCTATCGCAGAGGCAATTACGGGCAAGAGTCAAAGTGATTACGGTCATAATTCCAAATTACTGGCAGTAATTGGGTAATTACGACCATAAATCCTTTATTATGAGATAAGTGAAACGTGCGTTTTGGGCAATTACGAGCAGACCATGATTACGACCGTAATTCATCCCGTAATTCACCCAGAGCATATTTTCCTCATCTTTATGAGTATGACTACTCTGATTTCTGTTTTCTTCTCTCTCTCTCTCTCTATGGTGTAGAACCCTCTCTCACTTGGGTATGAAGAACCCTAGTTCCATGTGTTAGGGATCTTGATTGTAATGACTTGGGATTGTTATACTGATTGATTTTAATCGATTGTTGCATGATTTATTGAGTCAATTAAAGTCTGATCATCTTTCCTTGATTTCTGCTGCAACCTGAGATAGATAGAATCTGATTAGGTTGTTAGAGCTTCATCAATCGGTAGTGGTAGTTTGATTATACGAGAGTTAATCAATCTACTGCTTTGTAGTGGAACCCAATTCCAGTAGTGGAGTTCTGTGCTTATTGCTTCAGCTTTCTTTCCCGGTGAAGACTAGTCGTCTGCCGGGTAGTTGGAGTGAGAGGGCTTGGTCAGCTTAAGAGATTCCAAGCTACTGTCGGATCTTCCGCAGTTTAATCAACAGTAAATCAACCCAGAGTAATTACAATTGTGACCTAACTAAGGAGCTAGGGGGACTCATTCCCGAGTGAGTCTCCCTTTGCTTTAGAAAACCGAATCATTTCCTGCTTTCTTACTGCTTTTAGTTAAAACCACAATCAATCGACTTAGTTAGCTAGATAATAGATATTCACGGAGTAGGCAGTAGATCTAGACCCCGGGTTGATAATTAGAACTTGTCACTTTACTGCATTCCCGGACTGCGATTACACTTGGTCGCAGTTTGGTGTTGTGTTTTGGCGTGTCAGATAGGTTTCTTGGCACTCAAGCCATTGAAACCTCCACATTGTCTTAATACTCCTTCACTGCCAAGGTGAAATGTGATAGCAAGAGTAGACCGAGGAAGAGCACTTAAAAGAATTTCATGATAGGTGATAATTTGAAAGGGAGAAGCGAGGTTTTAGGCAAATGCTAGTGGCCATTGTTTGTAAGGAAGATTCTTAGTCGAAACCATAGAACCTTCGGTTTTAAGGTGAGATGTAGGACCTCATGATGTGTTTGACACCACCCAAAAATCCTTTTACCCATGTACAAGACAATCGCCAGTCATTCGAACCCATGTCTAAGACCTGTGGACAAGCTAGTGATGACAACCATTCTGTGAACTCTAGCATTTAGAGGTTGCCGCCATGGTGTTGAGACGATAAGGCCGAGTGTTGATGATTGTGCACATTCTTTGCACCAAATGGTCCCGACCCCACTGGTCAAGAGAGTGAGTGATTCATTCTTGTTTTGCATGTCATAGCATAACCCGGTGAGGACCTTCGTTTCCATCCGTTTGTTCCTTGGACTTGAACTCTATGCATGGTTAGTTGTGGTTGATTAGTGAACTTTTTGAAACTTGCATTGATTCATGAACAAGGTGAGAACTTTTCATTTGCCCGTTGAAGTCGGCTGCAAGTGCTTCGTCTGCGAATTGTTTTTCGGTTAAATTATCTAGTTGGGATCTTTGGCATCGTCGTTTGGGTCATCCCCACTCGGCCAGACTTTTGGATATGTTTAAAACTAAATTACTGTCTGGTTCAGTTTCTGCGGTTGATTCTCGGTATTGTGTTCATTGTATTGCGGCCAAGTTATCACAACATTCTTTCAGTCCGAGTACTACGAAATATTCAGCTCCTTTTGATTTAGTTCATACAGATTTATGGGGGCCTGCCCCAGTGACTTCTCGTGTGGGTTTTCGCTATTTTGCGCTATTTGTAGATCATGTTACGCGTTACACCTGGGTATATTTTCTTCGACAAAAATCTGATTTGCTTGGTGCAGCGAAGAAGTTTTTCTAGATGGTACAGACACAGTTCGGACGAACGGTTAAAATATTAAGGTCTGATCCTGGCGGTGAATTTACTTCTGGTCCGCTTCAGGAAGTCTTTCGCGATAGGGGCATTCTTCCTCAGCAGTCATGTCCAGGAGTATCGCAGCAGAATGGCCTGGTTGAGAGGAAGCACCGTCACGTTTTAGATCTGGCTCGGGCACTTCTCATTCAATCTAGTGTGCCGACTTCGTTCTGGGTTGAGTTCATTCATACGGTTATTTATTTGATTAATAGACAACCCACTTCAGTTCTTGCTCACCAGAGTCCCTATCAGGCATTATAGCAGCGTCTTCCTGATTATGATCGGTTACGGATGTTCGGTTGTGTATGTTATGTGCTTCTTCCCCGGCGTGAGCGTACTAAACTTGAACCTAAAGCGATCAAATGTGCTTTTCTTGGCTATAGTGAGAAGCATAAGGGCTACATTTGTTATGACTCCGTTAACCGTCGAGTTCGAATCTCCTGTGATGTAGTATTTCTCGAGCATCTTTCTTATTATTCTTCTTCCCAAAATGATGAGCACATGGCAATGGACCTCTTTCAGCCAATGGTAGAATTTCCAGAAGTTCCTTTACCTGTGCAACCGCCGCTTGAACCACCTTCCCCGCCGCCGAGTTCGTCTGCAAGTTCTCCTATCTCATTGTCGGCCTCGTCGAGTTCCAGTTCCTCAGTAGCCTCGTCTCCACAGTCCTCACAGTCCTCTAGTGACTCGGATTCTGCTTCTACCGATCCTTCTCCCCCAGTTTTGCGCCGCTCGGATCGAGCTACTCGGGGGCAACCTCCTTTACGGCTTAATGATTTTGTCACTTTTGCTACTACACATGTGTCGGTTCCAGCTTCATATAAACAGGCACATGGGCAAGCTTGTTGGGATGAGGCAATGAATGTTGAATTTGCCGCATTAGAAGCTAATCATACCTGGGATGTCGTTCCTCGTCCTCCTGATTGTTCTGTTATCGGCTGTAGATGGGTGTATGCAATCAAAGTTCATCCTGATGGAACCATTGAGAGGTATCGAGCTCGGTTGGTGGCTCAAGGTTTTAAGCAAGAATTTGGCATCGATTATGACGAGACCTTTGCCCCAGTGGCGAAGATGCAGACTGTTCGTACATTACTCGCTGTTGCGGCTATGCGGGGGTGGAGCTTGATCCAACTTGATGTCAAGAATGCTTTTTTACATGGGGATCTGAAGGAGACAATTTATATGGAGTGTCCTCCTGGGTATTTGAAATGGGATAAGTCTAAAGTTTGTCTTTTACGGCGTTCTCTGTATGGTCTAAAGCAAGCTCCTCGGGCCTGGTTCGAGAAGTTTCATGCTACTATTCACCGTATTGGATTTCAGCAGAGTAGTAATGATCCTTCTCTCTTTACACGACGGACTGCGAAAGGTCTGACGGTTCTATTGCTCTATGTTGATGACATGGTCATTAGTGGGGATGATGAGGAAGGTATACAGTTGTTGACTAGTGAGCTGCGTTCTGCATTTAATCTTAAGGAGTTGGGTGATCTATCTTATTTTCTTGGGCTTGAAGTGCATCGGTCCAAGGCTGGTTTGATGGTATGCCAAGAAAAATACATTGTTGATTTACTAGAGACTGCTCATATGGAGGATTGCCATCCTTGTACCACACCCATGGAGCAAAACCTCAAACTTAGGAAAACTGATGGAGACTTACTTCCTGATGGCTCGTTTTACAGAAGCATGGTGGGGAGTCTAATTTATTTGACGCATACACGTCCTGATATTTTGTATGTAGTGCAGGTTGTGAGTCAATTTATGCAGGCGACAAGAACTACTCATCTAGCGGCTGTTAATAGGATCCTTCGGTACTTGCGTGGTACGCAGAAGGTTGGATTATTCTTTCCCGCTTCAGGTGCGTTGACTATAGAGGCATTTGCAGATGCAGACTATGCAAGTTGCTTGGATACTCGACGTTCTACATCCGGGTGGTGTGTGAAGGTAGGCCACTCCTTCATTTCGTGGCGATGTAAGAAGCAGGAACGAGTATCTAAGTCGTCAACGGAAGCTGAATATCGTTCGATGTCAGAAGTCACTTCGGAACTTGTCTGGCTTCGACGGTTGTTGTTGGATCTTGGAGTGGAGTGTCCTACTCCTATGCGGCTGTATGGTGACAACACTAGTGCTATCCGGATTGCCACTAATCCCGTCCTTCACGATCGCACGAAACATATTGAGGTTCATGTGCACTACATTCGTCAGTTGGTTTCTGAAGGCATAGTGGCATTGTCGTATGTAACTTCGGAGGAACAAACTGCAGACCTGTTGACTAAAGCAGTTGGTACGGCTCGTCATTGGTTTCTGGCGCACAAATTGATGTTGCGTCAGCTTCATCAATTTGAGGGAGGCTGTTAGAAGTCTGGGTATTAGATTGTAATTAACCTAGAGCATGTTTATTGGTTAATTACAGTCTGCATACCTAGGGTTTATAGGCGGCTGTATATAAGTGTTGTTTTAGCCGCATGTAACTTTCAAGAACTCCAGTTTACGTAATTCCATTGTTTTTGACAATTTTACCTTTGTCTAAATTTCGAGGTTCTTAATCTGCTTCTATTACTCTTTATACCCACAACCCAACTTGGATGTTGGATGGGTTTTCTAGTTGTGGCGTAGAAACACAAAAGCTCATTCGATTGACAGAGCTGTCATTCCCAGAAGTAAATCACCAGAACTCATATCCCGAAGAAGAACTGGTGAAACTGCAAGGAATAGTTATATAAAAGGCAACTTAGCGGGTACAAATGAGGAACTCCAAGAAGATGCAGAAATTGAGTAAACTTGGATGCAACTCATTCGTATCTTTAACCAGGATTTGTCCTGATGTTTATGTTAGTAACAAAGCAAGAAAGCAAGAAAATTGAAAATGCAGCAAATTAACATAGAACATCCTATTAGCTCAAACGAATTTACACCCAGGACACACAATGGCAAAAAAAACCCCAAACCAAAGATTAACCCACCACTTTAAAGCGTAGACCTTCTCATACCTGCATTCGAAGGAGCCATTCACCAGAACTCTGATGCATTAGTGCGGATCGGGCAGCGGTGGGTAGAGCCGGTCTACCCATTATTATAATTATCTGGATATTCTTTTGGTTTATTGGTTTATTGTCCGGTTAGTATTCGGATTATTATTCTTATTTAGTCGGTAATTCTAGTAAGAGTTTGACTAGGTTAGGGTTACCATGTTTAAGGAGAATTAGGTTTCTGGAAGCCCTCCTATAAATATGTACTTAACCTTGCGTTTTATATATATAAGAAGAATAAACCCCAGTATTTTCAGTTTCTTTTAGTTTTTGTGTTTCTAGTTCCCTACGCGTGAGGCTTTCACGCGTCAATTGGTTTCAGAGCCCGGTTTCGACAAAGAACCGGGACGACAATGCCTCCCAAGAAGAACACCACCGCCTCGCAGGACGCGGGCGATGACGACGGCAGCAGCCAGGCGGGCCGGGAGCTGGCGGAGATGAGGGCGAGAGCTGAGGCTCTCGATTGCCGCCTCCGCGCGACTGAGGAGGAGCTCGGCCTTATCAAGAGCACGACCGGGAATCTGGAGAGGGGCCAGATGGCGCTGCAGGTTGTTGTGGAGGAAATCCGAACCGATTCTCAGACATGGTATGGAACCTTGGGGCAATGGCAAGCCGAGGCTAACACGAAGCTGGATCACATCAGCCGCGGCCAGGACGAGCTCCGTGCAACGATCGCGCAGCTCAAGGAGATGATTGCAGGGCTAGGGAGTCGCGAGCCGGCTCGTCAAACCATTGATCAGATCCCGGCAGGCGATAAGCTCAAGGGAACGATGATAGACACCGCAAACCACGCCGAATCAAGGGGCTCGGGGCGGCGAGTTGCTGAAGACAAGGGATCATGCGATCCAGGACCTAGGCGGCGCATGGAGAAGCTTGGCGATCGATGCAGGTGATTACCGGCCGCCGCCAACGTCGGGGCGACCGGCAGGCATGGGTGGGGCGGCAACACGAGGCGCATGAGGATCGGCGACGGGGATGAGCGGCACGGGACCTCGCCGATCGGAGCAAGAAGGACCAAGGGAGCTCGGCGGGGCCTGCGGGTCGGTTATAGCAGGAGGAGACCTGGCCAGGGGCTGGGGTCCGTGCGAAGGTGGGTCAAACCGCGAGGCCAAGAAGCCAGGGGTAGCTGACCAGGGCGAGTCGAGCGAACCAAACCGGGGAGCCGTGGGCCCAGGGCGATCGGAGGCAAGGGGAGAAGCAGTGGCAGCTCTGTTCAAGGGTCGGCAGGCTACCATTGAGTTCTCGCAATTCACTGGGCATGAAGATCAGTCCGGCTGGATGTCAAGGGTGGAGAAGTACTTCAAGTACCATGGGATTTCTGATGAGCAGAAGGTGGCCTTGGCGTCTTTCCACCTAGAGGATGATGCCAACCAATGGGTTATGTGCTTAGAAGAGGAGTTCGAGCAAAGTGGGAAGGAGATGTGGTGGGAGGATTTCCGTGAGAAGTTCTGGAAAAGGTATGGGGCCTCGGAGAAAGCTGTGGGACATGAGGCGCTGGCAAAGATCAAACAGACAGGGACCGTGGAAGATTATCAGCAGACATTTGAGAAACTGCTCAATCGCTGTCGTGGGTGGGGAAAGAAGGCGATCATGGGTACCTACATGGGTGATCTGAAGCCGGAAATTTCGACCTACATTCGCGCCTTTAATCCTCAAAATACCGGGGATGCATATCGGTTGGCCAAAATTCGAGAAGAGGAGATGCGAGTAGAAAAAGTGGCGATGGGAGCTATTCGAAATCCGACGCCGGAGGAGGCTGTCAAGCGTAGGAGAGATGGGCTCTGCTACAACTGTGACGAATAGTTCACCTATGATCATCTCTGTGCTAATAATATGCTCACCCACGTCCGCTCTCGCAAATCACTCTAAGGCATCGAATTTTGAATGGTAGATGCAGTTTTATGTTTCCACGGGCATTGCTATTTGTCGCCCTAAAACACCTAATTTGCCGCCCTAACTTTTATTAGAATGACTGAAATATCCTTAGCTTAATTCTTGAACAATCTGTACAATATTACTTCCAAGCATCACTGCCTTGCAAGCTTAATTCTCGAATATGCGTTCTATGTATTGCTGAATGCTCACTCGTTGTGCTCTCAAGCCATGGAAAACAGTAATCACATCTTTGATCTCATTACTCTTCAGTAGCATCTCATTCTTCTTCACCGATCTCTCGAGAAGAGACGAAACAAGTGATAAAACACGAGGGGATCTATTACATGATGATCCTTTCCTTGCTTCCTTCAGCCCCAACCACAAGTATAAAACATCCCGATCCAGCAGCCGGTCATCACTTGACAGAGTTCCCATTTGTGAAGATGATTACACAGCATCTCTTACGCCCTGTGCCAACAGAAGCATCCGACACCAGCAGTAGGCAAACGACGGCGGTCAACTCTAGGTGGGCAGTGGGCCGGAGAGAAGAATAGCGACGACCTTCTTCTTCGTATTCTTACTCCTCTGGCTTGGGATCGACTCCTGCAGTAGAAGCAAAGCACCAACGATGGTCAAATTGAGGTGGGCAGCTGCTGGAGAAAAGAATCCACATGACAGCCGTGTTGGGGTTGAGGTCGACGGCGGCAGGGCATGATAAGGGATTGTTTGTTTAGACTTTTTGTTAGAAATTGGGGGCCAGAGGATAATATCGTCAATTTAGTGCATTTTAGGCCGATAAAATTTAAATTTAGGGAGACGAATAGGGATTCAGCACTATAAATGATACTGTAGATTTAATATCATTCATGGTCACTAGATTTAATAAAACATGTCATGTTTAGTCACTCTCCGTCCAACTCTGTTAATTTTGTCTGAAGTGGCAGCCAAATCTGATAGTTGACTGTTAAATTTATGATGTGGTAATTTGAAAATTAAAAAATATTAATTTTAAAATTTCCACCTCATTATCACTACCAATAAAAAAAATCATTTTAATTCCCTACTTCTGACAAATTATCAGCTCTACCTCACTCACACCTCTGCCGCCTCCGTCGCTCCTTCACCGCAACCCCAAACTCTTTTTTCCGCTCCTCCTCTCTCCTCCTCCACCTTTGTCCTAGCTTCAACTTCCTCCTGCCGTCCCAGCTACACCCAGCGTCCTCTCTCACCTCGTCACAAACACGAACGTCGTTGCAGCATACTCCGATTTCATCGATTCATCGCCACACTCCCACCACTCTCGGCTAAACTTTTCAACCCCCCCTCCTCCTCCTCCTCCTCTTCCTCCGTCGATAACAGGCGGCTGAGCTATCCTTGTGAGCGCATTAAACCCTAAATCCACAAAACAAATTCCTCCCGCCGAAAGAATAAACACAACGAGGCACTGAAAAAGAACGACACTTTCTAAATCAAACCTGCATTTAAAGCAAAACCCATATGGAAAATTGATTTCATTCGTGAAATCGTTGAAACTTAAGGGAAATTGGAGCATCCCAAGACGGGGATCGAGTCAAAGCTCAAGAACGTTCAAGTTCAACCACACAAGCTGATTCGGCCTTAATTGAACACTTTTTACCTCTGGTTTCCTTAATCGTTTAAGGCAATTTTACTTCGGGAGGTTTGGTTTTACGTTGGGTTTTGTCACGTTTTTGTGCATTTCAGTGTATATCAGGTGGAACTAACACCGGATTCGTAAGTTGCACTAAAAGGCACAAAATCGGGTCATAGTATGGAGGCAGTAGCAGATCACGATGGAAGCAGTGAGTTCACGGTCAGGAAGACTGTGAACTGGAGCCTCAAACCGTGAACTTAGTTAGTGAAGCAACGCATTTTTTCCGAGATCATGGTCCCCGCCTTGAGTTTACGACCGTGAACTGAGACCGTGATTTGAGCCTGACCTGGGTATAAAAGGAGGCTTGAGCTGAAGGAGAAAGGGAGAGGAGACATTGAGTGAGAAAACCTTCTTCTTCAACATTCTAGAGAGAGAAAGTGACAAGCAAGACGAGAGAATAAGCTAGGGTTTCACTCAAGGCAAGGATTTGGGAAAATCTTCCCCAAAGGAAGATCTCTTCTACACAAGGAAGGATTCAAGCATCTCCATGATGGTTTTTCTTTTTCCTCCTTGTGTTTTTTCCCTCTCCTAGCATGGAGTAGTTTCCCTTTTCACTTGAGTGTTTGTGAACCCTAACTTCTAGGCCGCCGCCGTCGTACCACACCACCACCATCAGCAGCATAATCATCAGGAGCTGGTCTTTCCTCCTCCGGGGCCCACCTCGAACAGCGTGTGAATCGCCTCGAAGAGCAGTTTGTCGGAGTCACCACCCGGCTCGACCAATCCCCCGACCTTCTAGAGAGGATTGCTCGATGTCAGGGTGTCCTTTTGGATGATGAGCAGTGATTTTCAACCCAAGGGAGGCAGCCAACGAGTGAGATATGTGGCAGAGCCGATTTCTTTCGCCCCACTTCTCCACTTGAAACTCTGAACTCTGTTTTTTTTTTTTACTTCCTTTAGTGTGTGAACTAGTACTTTGTGAGTTTTTCTTTCTTTGAATCGTGATGTCGACAATTTTTATGTGTAATAACCTTGCCTCGAGCGAGAATGTGTGTGTTAATGTTTTGTTTTGTCTTCTCTTTGAAGTTCAAACCTCCTACCCCGGCAAATTGTCCAACTTTCATTCACCAAGCCATGCGGTAACATCGTTCTACCGCCTATTTTACGCCATTGAGGGCAATGTCCAGCTTAAGTGTGAGGGGTAGTTTATTATTATGCTTGTGTGTGTGGTTGAATGCTTGGAGCCTTGATGTATGACCAAATTTGAAAATTTTGAGGGCTACAAGACTTGCATGATCCAAATGGCCGGTTTTTGGGTGAATCTCGTGTTTATTTGCCATTGACCTTGAATTGTTGCATGTGATCGAGCGCATCCTGTTATGATGACTGAGAGTTGCATTAGGTGTGTGCGAAAGCTTAGTTCTCATGTGTGCTTAAATGGATAGGTGTCTTAACTTGGTTACTCTTTGATCACAATTGCCTTGCATAGAAGTACGTTAAATGGGAATAGATGATTGAGTGGCTAGGTATCCATGTGAGATTTGTGACGATCGTCTTTTTCATGTGTGATAGATCCCTCTTGCCATGGTGTGTAACATTCACTATTGTCACTAGTGAGTATGATGGAGGCATAGGATTAGTCCACACCCAAAATTTGATTGTCCTGAAACATTTTATCCCTTAGTCAACCCCTTTGAGGCGTGTAACTTTAGGGGTCGTTCTAATGTTAGGATCTTTGTTCTTGTTGAGCTTAATGGTGAGTGAAAGAAAGACCCTCATCCTTTCTTCGTGTCAAAGTGTAAGTCATTCTTGTGTCTCGGTGTTCTCGCTTTTGAGCTCTATTGAGGTTCTACATAGGTGGTTTAGCACGGTTCTTGCTAGGAATGGAAAGGTAGTGTTGGAGGAAAGTTCTTTATAAGCATTGTTCGTTAAAGGATAAGTGGCATGCGTTGTACTCTCTAGTACCCCCTCAAAAAAAAAAGAGCAAAAGAAAGAAAAGAAACGAAAAAGAGATAATAAAATGGGGTAAATAAAAGTAGAGAGTGACCACAAAAGTCTAAGTGTCTTCTCTAGGAAGAGTTTCTTGGAAATCAAGCCATTGAAACACCTGAATTGTTTTCTGACCTCTTTCACTATTATGATGGCATTGAGGATAGAAAGAATAGAACGAGGAAGTGTGCTTGAATGAAGTTCGTGATTGGTAGTTGTTTGGAAGAAGAAAAGTGAGGTTTTTGGTTGATGCTAGTGGTCGTTGATTGTAGGAAAGTTTCTAGTCGAAACCTTGGAACCTTTGATTTTGGGTTGAAGATGTAGGACCTCATGTATGTTTGCAAACACCCAAAAGGCATTTTCCCCATGTCCAAGACAATTTCCACTTGCCAGTCATTTGAACCTGTGTTTAAGATC